TGAACTAGGATGACCTCCTTGCCAAGATCAGGGTGGAGAAGCTCAAGCTTGGACCGTGTGATACTCTTCCAGAGGATGGACATGATTGCATCGTAAGTCGAGATCCAACTGTCTCCTGTCTTTGTCATGGCTCGAGACTTGAGTTCTTCCGTCTTACTCTTAGGAAAATGCCACATTCGAATAGCCAACTCGGGCATCTTGAAGTCGGCTGGCGGTGGAGGAGGCGGACCCCCGCCATCCTTAAGTACGGGGAACTTGTGGTCGAGTTCCTTCCACCGCGCAGCATCTGGCTTCTTTGCACTGAGACGCGATCGGTCCATCGTTTCCTTGGGGACTACCTGGAAGGAAGTTCCATTGGCCACCGCTGCAGAGTTCTGCGCCCAAGTGGTAAGGAAGCCGTCGCATCCCGGGCCGTCGGAACAGTTGTGATGGATAGCAACACCGAGGACGAGACCGCCTTTGATGAAATTTATCTGAAACGTAGAAATGAGGAGATCGTCTTCCTGATTGTCCCCAAGCGGCGAGAACAGTTGTTTCTCTGTCACCGCCTTGGGCAACAACCTGTGTCCCTTGAACGTCGCGGCTGGGAAATCGGTCCTATCCAGCTCTTCAAACGAAGGAAACGTTTCCTCCAGGTTCTGCACAAACAGACTGACTTCGCTGTCCTTTTTCTTCGTCACCCACAGCCGTCCATTGTCCGCGTCCATCTTCAAGCCGCCGGCGAGAATTGGGAACTGGCTCAATGTGACTTCGAGACCCTTGGCCATGCTATCCACGACCTTGGCCTTTTCAACATGTGGCGCGAGCTGGAACACCTCCACTATCTGCACATAGATCTTCGGCATGGTGTGGTCCATATCGGAGAGAGCGAAGTCCTCCTCTGCAGGAACGCTCTCCCAACCTGCTGGGCGGATCCTAAGCTCTTTCGCGGACATGCTGCTTGCTGGGGTAAAACGTGGTTGAGGCCGAGAAGCTCCAGAAAAATGCAATGAATAAGAGACAGAAGGATTTCGCTTAAAACCACGACCCTTGAGGACGGAGAATTTCAGCAGCTGATCATGTCAAAGCCCCGACGTTGCGCGCCTTGCACTGTGGAGATGGCAAGGTTCATTTTAACCAGTGCGCCAATCATGAACTGTTTGTGAGGCGTTACTTCGGTCGGAAAACCTGCAGTTCTACATCCGATAAAGTGCCGTTCCTGACTCACTCTTGTACGGTCTCGCCAGGACAGTCTAATCACTCGCAGGAAGCATGGTGAGTGCGTGCGGAATCTAGGCGCGGCAAGCGGCAACGGCGCGGCGCGAGCTTGAATGAAAGCATATCTCACCTCATGCAGACTTCCGTGGAGTCCAACCCCAGATTTTGACTAGGGAAATGCACAATACTTCCGAAGTATTCGCGTTCCACTACCCACATACCATTTGCGCATACATAAGGAGACAAGTATAAAGTCTACTTCTAGTTGATCAGGACACAACAGCGCATTACAGTCAAGCCTAAGGGTAGCTCGCGGACTGCCTATAACGTAAGTCGCGATAGGGAGATAACATCAGTCTGGAAGAACACCGTGGTAATGCCACCGCTTATCACACTGCGTCACGCCGCACGTTCGTGCCCAAAGCGGTCTCCTCATCAGGACCGAATGTCGCTACCGCATGTTTGGACCGTTGGCAACCCACACCCGATACTCGTCCTAGTAACGAGTCGCGAACTTCAACGACATAGGGCCGACTTCATGACAAGGATCGGGAGCGCTTCTTCATGCCGACTCACGCACCGTTTCATTGGGCACATGCTGCAAAAATCAAATGGTTCCTGCGTCGCGTATAGCGACACATACCTTTCCCCGTTTTGTAAGGGGTTACTCTTTACTCACTCGCAGCACTTCGACTTATTGCGGCCGGACGAAACACTCGCGATCTTTTGGTATTTGTTGAGAAGAAGTGCATACCGTTTGGAGTTTTCACGTACTGTTCACTGCCCACTATGGAGTTCGTCCGAAGAGCCGGAGATAATGTGAATTTGGTGGTGTACGATAATATTCAGCCCATCGTTTGGATCACCACAGTTCCATTCTTCATAATGGGCTTGATATCATCTGCTATCCGGCTTTACACTCGAGCTTTTATACGAAAGCCTTTTGGTACAGACGACTGGTTCATGCTGGTTGGAACTGTGAGTGTTAAACCTACCCTGTTTCTGAGCCGCGCTGTGACTGACCCAGAGACAGATTTTGTTCATCGGGCAGCAGTATATCGCTTGGATGTGGACCATCTTAGGCGGTGGACTGTAAGTTTGACACTTTCTGGAGGGAAGTTTTCCAACTGTTTTTCTAGGCACGTTACCGACCCTCGTGTTAAGCCTGAAAACCTCAAGAAAATCAGCACTGTACGTTATGGCAGTCTTACGTGCAGTGCGCGCTTTCATTCGCTTGGTCATACATATTAACACATAAGGCAGTATCTCTTCGCAGAAGAGTTCTACTATCTTCTTCTACAGTTCTTCATAAAGATGTCGTTCCTCTTCTTCTATCGCCGCACACTCGAGGTCACACCAGGTTTTAGGATCGCGGTAATAACCACTATGATCCTGGTCGGCTTGCAGACGGGCGGCACATGGATTTTCTACGGCCTGCAATGTATCCCCATCCAAGCCTTTTTCACTCCAGAACTTTATCCGAACGCTGTCTGCATTTCCTCTGGTCTATCATACTACTTGCCCTCCGTTGCTGTAAGTCGCTCGTCACCTGTCAGACTAATCTCCACTGACAATATGCAGAACGTCTTCATGGACGTAGTGATTTACCTCCTCCCGATCTACCCTCTGTGGAACGTACAAACTACGGTCCGCCGCCGAATCGGTCTGATGTGCGTCTTTACCCTTGGAGGCTGCACGATTATGATTTCGCTTCTTCGCTTCATCGTCCTGTGGCAACTCGCAAACACGAAAGATGTGTCGTACATCTTCGGCTCCGTCACAATCGTCACTTCTATCGAATTCGCGGTAGCGATCATCACCGCCAATATGCCTGGAATGTACGGCTTCTACCGTGCAAGGGTATCGAGAAAAGAGCAGAGTTCCACTGAGGGATACCACTTTGGCATTGCTACCCCTGGATCCAAGGGCCGTTCTTTAGGGAACGCTAGTCGTGTGACAAAGGGTAGCAAACTGAGCACTCATGGCGAGGAAGATGATGTAAGAACAGGGAGCCAGGACGAGCTGTACCCAATGAGCAATCTCGGCGAGAGCGAAGAGGAGCAGAATATACGCGTCACTACGAAGGTCATAGTCGAAGGGGAAGATCCCAAGAGATTGCCCAGGAGTAGTCTCAGGAGCCTCAGAAAGGGACATTGATGCTGGCGATCATGGTCCCTTCTCAACCACGTGTAGCGAGCTGAGAGGCAGGATGGTGGCAGTGATTATGGCTATGCATTATACCCAAACATGCGAAGATGTACACGCTTGTGGATTGGTAGCAAGCTTACTCTAGCATTGTTCAGCGTTGGCGCCTGGGGCGTTCTTTTTAAATTTAACACAGAGAACCAGCATACATAGCGAATGGCGTTTATTTGCTCGGAAAAGACTTGCCACAGAATGTCAGATATGGCTTCTGACGCGGAGCCTTCGACGGAGTCGATGTCCGAAGTTCGCGCTAGATCATCGGCGTCGAGAACTCCGCACTGCGTGTCAGCAGTCCTTCACATATCCGATACGAGTAATCCAGTGTCGCTCATCGCTCAATCTTTACCTGTACTCAATCAGCCTGTTCACGCAGAAATCAGCGAACACCTCCAGAGCGGATTCTAATGAATGCACCTGATGACTGCCCAGGTGAGCGTTCTGCAACTTGTGTGGCTGGTGACATTCTTTCACTCCGAATATTCCGTGTCATTAGCTGTTTCCAGTAAAAATCATGTACATCACCAGTAGGCTTCCGCTTATCAGCAACCTCATCCAATGGCGAGAGAGACTATGGGGCGTGAAGCGATGTGATCTAGACCTACTTGGGATTAGCAAGCTGCGGGGCCGTTTCGCCGGAACATTGAAGAATTACTCCGACGAGGTTCTGCTTCTGTATGTAGGAGATACGTGAGTTTAGGTGCGGAACAGTTCTTTCGCACTAATCTTACACTATTCGGAGAATCATCTAGTATGCTGCGAAGGAACGGGAAGCCCAGGTTGGTGAATTCGACAGTCAGATACCCACGGGTGGCTAATCGTGACGCGCAGGTCGTGCGAACCATGTCGCATATCGAAAATCAAGTGCGACCATGCCACGCCCACATGCTCAAAGTGCCAGATTCGTGGGATGACAGAACAGTGCTTTTACCATCCTAACCCAATGACGAAGCCTGCTGGCACTCCTCGCAAGAAACCAGAGCCGCGTCGTCGCCGGTTGGATGCGCAGGCTACAAATCCGTCATCCAGTCAGGGAAGGTTAACGCCGTTGACCCTAAGTCCACCAACTTTGAGGAATGATGCGGGAATTGGGCCATGGCCTACTCCTCCAGAGTCTGCTACTAGAACAACACAAAGCGGACCCGACCCATCCCGGAACTTCTTCTTGGGCTCTACTAGTTATGCCGCTGTCTTCACAGAAGAGCAGCCCTTACCAGACACAGTACATGAACAGCCATCCGAAAGCCCGAGCACAGCCCCTTTCGTGTCAAATAGAGGCATGGCACACCGCCATTGCCAGTTCTCTCTAGGAGATACGATAGTCTCTACGCTTCAGCCATTTTCCTTCTATGAAAGGTCTCTTCATATGTATTTCGAATCGCACAAGGGTAAAATCTCTCAGGTACAAACTGCGTATGAGAGATAAACTGACTTAGTACATCGAAATTCTAGATCCAGCCCTCCCTGGTCCCCTAATTCTTTCCGCGTTGCCACAACTGCGCATAGACTTAGAACAACTTCAAGCTGCTGGTAATCACGCACACCTGCTCTACGCCGAGATGACAAGGAATTCCGCTCGCCCAATGAAAATACCTTCAGATATGCGTCCGTCAGAGTTCCACACTCTCTTCACAGGCAAAAATCTGAGATGGGAGATTTTGGGCTTGATCATGGCGATCGCCGGCTCTAGTGCCCAGTTCACATCGCCTAACGACCCCCTCTTCACATTAGAAGATGGCAAGCAGATGAATAGAGAGGAGTTCATCGAGGACATAATGCATGCAACCAATACGTGTATCAACATCTGCCAAACACATGGCGCTGTCAATGAGCGTACGTATCATTCCTACGCAGACTTACCGTACACATTTTGATGGAAGCAGTCATGGTATGTCTCGTTTACATCAACCTGATGGTGGTCAGTAGCTTCTACGGGGACAACCGTACGTCACCCCTACATCCAGAAGACTAAATTACGATCGCTGACTCTCCAGATCATGCTACTTGGAGGCGCATGGGCGACAGTGTATCCGCGCTCTACGCTGCGGGAATCCACTGCGAGGCTTGCAATGTAGACGGTAGCAACGCAGAACCATTCTTCATGCGCGAATTTAGGAGACGACTCTACGCGGCGATATATTACGGCGACAAGACACTAGCGGTGTTCTACGGAAGGCCTCCGATGATGGGCTGGAGATACAGTGACCGCAAGATGTTGTTGGACATTAGCGATCGCGCTATGGCCTCGGACGATACTGAAGTACTCAATGCTGAGCTCTCGAAGCTCGACAGCGACGGTTGGAATACCGAAGGTCATCTGCACCCTACTACTTTCGGTAGAATGCGATGCCAACTTGCTGTGTTCAAAGAGAGATTGTTAGAGCAAAGTCTTGCAGGCGAAAAGGATAGCGAAGTGGTGCGGAATGTCGAGTACGTCTAGATTTTCCATCGCTTTTTTACCTTCGGCTAACAAGAGCAGAGCAATCTCTGCCGAATGTGCCGAATGGTGGAACTCGTTACCGACTCACCTTCGCTATGATACATATACCGAAGAAGCTGCTTGGGTAGACCGCGGTCCTGGTCTGGCCATGCGGCTGGTCGCCTACTACCTGGATTACCTTCACGTACATTTCCAAACGCAACGCCTCCTTCATCGGATAACGCAACAAGCCCTGCCAGCATTGTTGGAAGTGTCTCTGAAGCTACTGGTATCCTCACTCGTGGCTTCCAAGCCGCAAAACCGCATATACGAAACTCGTCGCCATTTCCCCACTGTCATTTTATTCTACTGTTCCCCAGCTGCTGGTGTATTGGCACTAGAGCTGCGGAGATGTACAATTGAGGGCGTACCACTACCTAGCACAGTCTCCCGGGCCGACCTAATCCGTAACCTTTCCGTGTTGACTTCATGTTTGGAATGGAGCGTTCTTCCCGGCGACGGCAATCTCAAGCTTTGCAACGAGCTCAACAAAATGCTCGCGCTGGTACTAGATGAGGTCCTCAACTACGAACCTCCAATCAAAGGCACACCAGATGCCGGTGACGATACCGCAGCTAATCTGACCGGGATGGGGCAGGGATTCTTCGATATGCCCATGACCGAGGGGCTGGAACCTATACCGACAGAGTCCTCCGACTTTCTGAACTGGCTAGACAATGCAACGTGGAATAATGCGGTAAGCTGAAGAGTCACATGCAGAAAGAATTTGCTGACCAATCCAGGACTTGTTCTGAGTGTAATCAATTGTGTTGACAGGACTGCAAAGCCTCGGCCAACTAAAACAAACCGTCCAACGCCTCATACCCGAATTCCGGTATATTATGGAAATCCGACACCATTTACGCCTCAAACCGCTCTTCCAGAAACATTATTCCCAGAATCTAAGCATGCAAACTATTCCACGCGTCATCCGAAACCCAAATCCGGCAATCTGACTCCTCTAAAGGCGGCCAATCATTCAGAGCCCGGAGAAGTACGCCGCTCTCGCAGCAGCTCTGTTCTCAGACTCATCCACTTTCTTTTGTGCTTCGTTGCTCGACTGCGACGTCGCTTCAGCAGCTGCTATCTGTATTAGCTAGAGTTCCAGTTCATCAAAGGATGTATGAACATACGCTTTCGGTTCAGCAACTTTGCCAGAATACTTTTCGACGTTGATTTCGTTGAGACTAGAGAGTTCGCATCGGAAGATGAGTATGGCGGTGGTGCAGTGGTAGAATAGCGTGGCAGATCGCTTGGTGAGGTAGTGTTGGATTGAGAAGACATAGTGGTGGTACTCCGGTAGCAGTGACAAGTAGACGTCGTATCAATACTGCTTGGAGATATCGAGAGGCTGAGACAGTTGACTTAATGTATGCGGCTGCTCTCGTTGACAGGTATGACTCTGCCATTGATGTTCCACATGTCTTCTTATATGCAGACTCGTCATATCACTACCGATCAGCTCGGAGACCCTATCAGGTTCGTCATTGCCCTTTCCAGCTGCTTCGGAATTCAACTTGACTCTTCCCCACTCAGCACAAGCCATTAACTGCATGCCTTACACATTTGGTGCAGCCCTCGGAGTACCTACTTGGCGGGCTTTGGTAAGCGAGTGCAAGCATCGTGGTGTCAGCGCTAGGCAACAGTGTTAGGCGTCCAATGCCGAATCGCGGCACTGAAGAACGTTGCATGCACAGATGTCAGGATACACGCGTCAGGTGTGTTTTGCAAAGTCTGACTGGTTTTCCTGATCTGGATTGTCTTTTTTTGTTTGCATGTATCCTTATGGCTGCATGGTGACTGAGAATCTTCGGAATGAAAATAGTGCCGATGATTTTGCCGGTAGGTTGGAGAGGGTTAGCTTGACGTGTTTGCTCCGATGGAAAGGGCGGAGTCTAGAAGCCCATGACATTCAAAGGGCACATGCGACGAAATGAGTCAGATTCACGCATGTCAATGTTGTCAATGTTCTTGGATGCGATAAATGCGATGGAGCTGTGAGAAGGTGTTTCCCCTACCACGCGGACTTGAATTCCATCTAGGCGGCTACAACGAATGGCATTTGTTGAATGCAACAGGTTTTGGCGCCTGTGTCAACTGCAAAGTATTTACACGAAGTTTCTACGGGCCTCCCTTGGACTGCATTCAAGCTAATCAGACACACTGCGAGTAGTAATCACCTCCGGCCTTGCAGGTAAGTCCTGAAGCACCTACACAGCGTTAGTAAAGCCTTATTTGCACGTTTTCTCAGCTCATCCGACTTACAAGTTTTGCATCCAGTGAAACCATTTCCGCCGCATTGGCCGTACCTTGTAACAGAGCAAGCGCCAGAACCACCTCCATTCGTTGGCACAGCGGCGGCAGAGGTGACTACCGCTGACGTCCTCATCGTGGTTGCAGTAGCTGTAGCAACTGGCGCTCCACCAGTAGCAGTGACAGCTGATCCAGCACTACCAGCAACGGCTTCTGTACCACCCGCGATGACTGCCGGACCGGGAGCGACGTACGAAGCGAGGTTCTGGTAGATGTTGATTTGGATACCGGGGTCGGTAGCCTTGTATGCTCCAGGGAACGATACGCCAGCGGGTGAAGAAGATCCACTACCAGTGACAGTGATCTGGTAGCAGGTGATGTAGAATTGGGCGCCGTTGGCACTACCTGCAGCATGTAGCGCAATAGCCTCCGCTCTCAGTAGATAATCTCCAGGGGCCAGGTTGGTGGGAATCTTCACATCCATCTTTCCACAGTTCTTGTTCAGATCCTTAGTACCCCAGTAATCATCCGAACCGCCACCGCCACCGCTGTTCTTCGCCCATGTATCCTGGAAGACCTTGAAGAAGGGGGTCGAACCATCCGCTGTGGATGCGTCTGCAACCTTGGACATGTAGACCAGAACGGGGCCGTAGTGGGCTCCGCCGATGGCTTCGTTAGCGCATGAGCGGTCGCCGTTCTGCTGGTGCATCTCTACGGTGACGGTACCACCGGCAGGAACGCTGCATTTCGAGGCTGCTGGACCGCGGTTGGCGTTGCAGCGGATGTCGTTGCTTGCTACTGAGGTGACGGGGCTGTTGCCATTGGGTAATCTTGCGCACGTCGACTGGTGGATGGATGTCAGCGGTTGATACAAGACACTTGGGGGTACTTATCTGATCTACACCGTTTACCCAAAGCTGCTGAAAAGTGGCATGAGAGGCTACCTGTGTCGCGAAGGCAGCAACGCCGGTCAAGATGATTGCACTCTTCATGATAAATGCTCTGCCGATGATCGTTGGATGAAATGAACGCAAGTGTTGTGACTGTTCTGGGATGGTATCGAATTGAATACCTACCTATCGTCTCTTTATACTTGCCTCTGTATCCCCTAAGAAGTATACAACATGCTCGCTTACAGGTGGAGTGTAGCCCACGGTATCGATCTAGGCGACTACACCCCAAGAGGCAACATTCTAGAGTATGGCATCGTCGTGTGACTTGCGATTATATGAAAGCAAAGCTTGTCAGTGCCGTAACCCGGGTTCAGTTTTCCACGTGTAACGTCCTGCAGGTGGTGTGGAAATTAATCAGTGCGCCAAAGGCAGCCATTCAGTGTTGACTACACCGAAACTGGGCTCTAGATTCGTTTGACAGGTATGCTTTTGGGGGTGTCGTGCAGGCTTGCTTGCATATAATGCGTGTGCTACGAGCCACCGGATAAAGCTCCCGTCGGTTCGGTTGGGCGCAAGTCTTGTGAACGTATGGTAGCTTCTTCTTCGCATCTCTGCGGTTCGGGATCGAGAATCTCAACACTCGTAACGCGTATGTGCTGATTGGCAGTGGTAACCATGCTGTTCCTGTGGATTGCAGCCCCAACACCTTCGGCAACTGAACGTTCGATTTTCACATTGAATTCGCGAGACCGTGATCTAGGGCGATCGGGCGAGACATCCAGGTCTTAGGGCGACGAGTTATCGAAAGCAATCTGTTTAGATGAAATTCGAGAAGCGACGCGTGCCGCGTTTGCGCATTTCCCAGATCCGGTTCTTCGGTTAGAAAGCTTGTTTTTCTCCTCTTCCCAATATGGCGTCGGAGGTGATAGAAGGCTTAAGTCCAGATGAAGTGGCCGCCTGAGAAGTACGTGCTCGAGTTGCAGTAGGTAGAGTGATGGGTCGGCACCTGGCTGGCTGTTGCCGATGTGGGGACGGCTAGCACGTTTGAGGCAGGGGCCCCGGGGGCGCGCACGACGCACACGAACCTCCCTCGTTCCTTCATCGACGCACATCTTTGGTCGACCATGGTGTATCTCTTGATACAAATTTCGATGCGTGTGCCGTTAATCCTAGTCGTTATCGTCGATTGATCATCTTTCGACGTAGCAAAGTGCACTCTTTCGCATCTGTTGCCATCCGCGTGAGTACATTTTTCTTCATTCACGTAGGTCGACCTCGTCGTACTCTATTCATGCCTCAATCTCTTATATGTGTTGGGTTGTGGTCTCTCCGATCTCTTTGTTGCTACATCATCCACCCTATTGATGCCCACGTGAGTATATCAGCAACCTTTGTCTCTCCTCTCAAGCCATCCTTTCGTCATGATCATAGCCTTGTCATCCTTCAGTCTTCACCATCTTTCTCTTCGTCAAACCTCTCGCTTCCCACAGGCCACACACGCACAGCCTGTCTTCACCCAGCAAAATAGCAAACGCCCACACTCACCTTCACCTCGCCTCCCCACCAGTCCAGCCATCTCCCTCCACCGCCTATTTTATACAGAGTATATCACGAACTCTCTCTCGCTATATAGTCCTAGATCTTCTACGTCCCTCCATCGACTCGGGATGGAAGACCTGATGATCGGCCGGAAACGTGCAGCATAGCAAAGGAGTGGGTAAGACCACCGCCAACGCTGGGTCACTCCCAGCTATGTTGGAAGCCGCGGGTTCGAGTCGTGATAAAACCACTTCTACACTCCCCAAGGCGGCGTCCTGGCATGGCATCTTCGGAGCATGCCAGGATGCCGATTTGGGGAGTGTAGCGGAGTTTTCACCAGACACTTAATACCTTAAGGGTGTCTGTTCTTTTTTGCTCTTGCCTGTGTTTTTCTATGCCTTCTTTTACTTGTAATAGCGGAGAAAACATTTGTGCTAAGATAGGAACATAATGCCAATTAGGTGCTCTGTGTATTAATCTAAGGTAGGTAGGTTGTCTACGTATCCTGTTAGCTAAGCATATGTAGCAATCTACTTATCACTTCATAATGTATACTAGAAGATAAGTCAACAACAGCGTTCTGTTATTGGATACGTTATAGATATAGCACATAGTTATTAATTGCAGATAAACAGATAAACGAAATCAAGACAATAGAAGAAGAACAGTAGGTTGTCTTGAACATGTTCGGTCATTGATCATGTAGATGAATTCTTAATCTTTAGTAGCATGATGGTATGCTACTTATACATCCGCTTGGTGTTTTGAAGTCATCAAATTCGTGAAGATACCGCACCCCAAGTCTATACATCACACCTTCTTAGTCCCTCTTGAGAGGTGTGAAGGTCTCGGCTATGCCCTCGTTTGTAATGATCATCATCTGAAGGCCATCACCAACCTCAATGTGCCTCTCCACGGCGCTCGTGAAGGCGTCCCGTACCAGATCCTCGACGTGATCCCGCGGTAGCGGTTGTGCTTGCTTCGACTTGAGTTCGTGGCCTGTTCCGCTGCCTGGCTCGTACATGTTCTTGAAGTTGACCTGGTTGTCCAAGAAAGGCATAATGAGAGATGCCGCAGCACCCGCCGCCCTGCACTGCTCCCTCTCGTAGCTGCCGACCGGGTCGTAGGAGTACAGCGCACCCTTGCCCTCCTCGTCCAGACCAGCCAGGATGGCATGTACGTAGTAGGGGAAGAAGCGCTTGTTGTAGAGGATGTGGCTGAGTCGTTGTGCGCAGGCGGAGACGGTCATGGGCTTTCCGTGCTGGTACTTGTACATCTTGACGATGGTGTCGAGACGCTCCTTCAGCGCATCACCGTCGGCGGCGAAACCGACCACTGAAAGCACTATCCTGGCACCCTTGTTCTCTGGTCCCTCGCCGCCGATCTTGAAGAGCTTGGGTGCGTATCGTGTGTTGATGTTGTAGCCGGAAGTCGAGCGTGTATCGCCTGCGAGGATGGCGAAGTCGGCGCCGGAGATGCCCAGTGTTGAGCCACCGTTGTCCGTGTAGCTGCATTGTGTTAGCGGTACGTATGTTCAACATGGCGAGCCAGCGTACGGGTAGAAGCCATGTTGCCGCTCGCCTGACGGAACAGTTGTGGGGGTCTGCTTGAACGAATAGCCTGGGCCGCCTTGCGGAGGTGCACCGGTGTAGAGGGCAGCCATCGTCGAGTTTTGGAGAGGCGGATTCGGGCGGGGTTGCAGAGGTACAGTCGGTATCGGGAGGGGGGTGGGCTGTTGCGACGCTTCTGTTTGTTGGTGCTGGAGCTCTGGAGTTACGCAGCTCGAATGCCTGGAGCTTCCGCGCGCTAGTGTCTTGGCGCCCATGTAGTGAGAGCATGCATTTACCGTCTGTGGCGGGCATGCACAGCAAGCGTCTGGATCAAATGTCTTGGGGTGTACTTCATTTTGGTTGTGCGAACGCCGCATTCACAGTATTACTACAAGTCTTCTCAGTCTGTGCTATCTTCTCCCCTCACCTTCTCTCTCTCGACCTTGATCGTCTCCTCTTCGGCGACCTTGACCTGCGCTCTACTTTGCTCTTTGTGCCCTGATCGTCCTTTCCTCTATGTTCCAATTCCTTGCGCTTTCCCGTAGCAGAGCTTGACGCCGCGCCCGTTCCACTCGACGCGCCAGTCTTGGACGCGGACACAAACTCGAGAGCTTCTCTCGGTGCCTTGGATTTCTCTTGTTCTTTGGTCTTTGCGATGCGCTTCTGTGAAGCCCTCAATTCCTCGACATAGGCCCACTCCGGGAAGACTGCCGGTATCGCGACATCTTGTGGCAGTGTAGATGCATATGCGTCCTCTTCGCTGATTCCCGCAAAGCCCATCAGCTTCCGCATGTGTCCCGGATCGCGTAGCACGGACGAGCCTTCCAAGCGCTGGTTGAAATGCTGGCCCTTCTTCTTGAGCTCTAGAAATTGCGCAAACTTCTTCGTCGCTTTCTGTGGTGGTGATCCCGGCGGAGAAGGCGGTATATCGAAGTTCGGCACGGTAGGTAGAGTAAGGTTCTGAATCAGGGCACGTGTAGCTGTGTGTGGTGAGCCTGGCGCGGCTTCGTTCGCGTTGGCATCGTCCTCTGGAGGCGGCGATACTGTCGGACCTTGCGCAGGGCCGCTCACCGGACCCGACGATGTAGGCGGCTGTTCGAGAGGCGCGGGAGCGGAGAGAGGCGCTGGGGTAGGCGCGACAGCTGCAGGAATGTTGGTCAACTCTATATTAGTAGCGATCCGAGCCCTCTGCACAGATTTGCGGGTCTCACCTCTGGCTTGGTCGCGGGCACGACGTCCTCGTCGTCACTGTCTGGGTAGTCGATTCCGAGCATTGTGAGTGCGCAATGCTGGTGGACGATGCTCTCGGATTGACCTCAATATGCGGAGCTTGGGCCAGCTCCATGTCTTGGCGGGCGAGCTGCGCAACCACCGACTGCCTGACGAGCGTCGTGACAACAACAACCTCACCTCTGAGCCCACTGCGACATAGCACTCTCTCCGAATCCCGAACAACACCGTCTCTGCAGTTCTGCATTTCAGTCGCCTCTTCCACCATGAACCACCTGCCACAAGCTTGGGGTCGTGTATGTCTTCCGCCCGCCTCCAACAGCAACAGTACTAATGCATCGTAGCCCAGAGACGATGTATACGGCACCTACGACCCTTCGCACTTCTCCGCTGCCGGCCCCAACCAGCACACCCAGAGCCCGATCGTCACGGGTACCTCAGTACTTGCGGCCAAGTTCAAGGACGGCGTAGTCATCGCCGCCGACAACCTGGGTATG